AACGTGACTTAGCACATGCCTCAGGCAACCGCAAGAGAATGTCCGAGCTCACAAGGCAGTGCAGAGAAGCGATCAAGGAAGACCTCAAAGAGAGAAGAGGAGCTGTGCTGGTAGATGCGGCAGAAGCCAGGAAAAGCATTCGTCATGCCCGCCTGTCCTTCACCAACTATAAGACCAAGATGACTGCCCTCCGACATTCTGATGGATGTATCACATTGTCCAAAAGGGCAATGGGGAAAATTATTCATGACTTCTACTCAGATCTCTTTAATAGCCACGTCCACTTGACCGCATACCAAATTCCTCAGGATGGATATGTCATTCCAATGTTCTCCCTTCCAAAATCCGACACTTGACACACCATCTCGTCGGTAAAGAAACAAAGAGCACCTGGTCCAGACAAGGTCAGACCTGAACATCTGAAGAACCTACTGTCAGTACTCATCAATACACTGGCTTGGCTCTTCACAGCTACCTCTCTGAATGCCAGGTTTCGTCCCAGTGGAAAACAGGTAGAACTGTACTACTATACAAGAGGGAGACAACCACGACATTGGCAACTATCACCCGATCTGCCTATTGTCTGTCATCTACAAGCTGTTCACTTGAGTCATCCTGAATAGGATGGGCAGAACACTAGATGAAGGACAACCATGCAAGCAAGCGGATTCCACAAAGGATTCAGCACCATCGACCATATCCACACGATAACCAAGCTCATTGAGGTTTCTCGGGAGTTCAAGATGCCGCTCTGTTTAACGTTCATTGATTTAAAGAAGGCCTTTGATTCTGTTGAGATGGAAGCGGTCATCGAAGCCCTAGCCAATCAGGGCGTTCAAACTCAATACATCAGGATCCTCCGTGAGCTGTATTACGGATTCACTACCAGGATCTCACCATTCTACAAAGAAGTGATCATCCATGTCAAGAATGGGGTTTGGCAGGGTGATACTATTTCACCGAAACTCTTCAGTGCCACCCTCGAGAACATCATGCAACAACTGGAATGGGAAGGAATGGGAGTGAAGATAGATGGTCAGCAGCTACACCACCTCCGCTTTGCTGATGACATCGTTCTAATAACACCAAACATCAGCCAAGCGGCACAAATGCTAACCAACTTCGACCGTGAGTGTAGAAAGGTCTGATTACAGCTGAATCTCACAAAGACAATGTTCACAACCCCCACCAAAGTTTTAATATATGTTCTTTAGCACACGTGGGACATTTTCTAGGATACATAATACAATTGGGCACAATTTGAGTGTCCTCAAAGCCATAAAAGCAGAGATTACATTAATTTTTATAAACCACAGTATTTTTACAATTGACTCAGGTTTGATTCTTCTGTCCCGTTCAGAGAGCACAGCAAGCTACCGAGAGTATCCCGCCCACATGGCAGAGCCTGGCAAACTCCCCGTGGCATATTCAATATGCCAAAAAACAGTAGCCACAATCTCACAATGGAGACATTATTGGTGCCTGCTCGAGCAAATCAATGAGCAATGGGAGGACAGTGACAGTGACAGTGGCAAACCACAGAGACATAAAGCTAGAAATTAATCATGAAAAGAACATTGGAGAACACTCCAAGATTTAGAGACTGAACTGTCTTTTTAACCATTGTTGAAAAACAAGTTGATCAAAGAAAAAATCAAAAAAGAAATAAAAGTATTTCTAAAAGCAAACAAGAATGAGATTATAAACTATCAGAACTTATGGGACACAGGAAAAACAGCAGTAAAGGGGGAAGTTCAGGGTAACAATACAGGGTTACATCAGGAAACAGGAAAAAGCTCAAATAAACTACACTTCAGCCTGAGAACCTACAGAGAATTACAAATGAATCCTAAAGTAAGTAGCACTGTAGCACTGTAGCACTGTCCACGTGCTGTTCATCGATTTGCTCGAGCGGGCCAAGTAATGTCTCCATTGTGAAACTTGTTGTTACCATTTTGGCATATCAAGTCCTTCACGGGTAGCTTGCCAGGCTTTGCCATGCGGGCGAGACACTCTCAGTAATTTGAAACTAAATAAGAAAGATGTGAGTAGAAAGAAAATATGTAGAAATCAAGAAAACAATAAAAAGGAAAGGATTAATAAAATCTGCAGATAAATTTTGAAAAGATTAAATACGATTGGCAGTCCTTAGCAAAACTCATGAGTATCAGAAGAAAGAAAAATCAGATGAGAAATGAAAAGGGGAAAATTACAACAATCATCTCAAAATTCAAAAGCTCACACGATCTCCCAAAATTAAATCAGGAGTTAGTAGAAAACTGAGCAGACCAATCACAAGGAAATTGAAACAGTACTTAACAATCTCCCCACGAAAAAAAACCCAGATCTAGACAAGATTGAGTTCTAACAAACCTTCAAAGAAAGCATACTATGTATATTTCTTGAGCTCTTCTAAAATATCAAAGGGAACGCTTTTTAATAGCTGTCTGAAGTCAATATTATCCAAATACCTAAAGCAAAAAGAATTATTACAAAAAAGAAAAATGACAAACCAGTATTCCGGTAAATCATTAATGCAACATTCCTTAACAATATCTCAGTGAATAAGATTAAATAATTTTAAACAGGAACATAAGAACATGCACTATCTTCAAGTAGGGTTCATTCCAGGAGTGCAAGGATGGTTCAGTATAAGCAAATCAATGAATGTACTACACCATATAAGCAAAAAAGAAAGATAAAACCATGTGACCATATCAATAGATGCAGAGATATCTTTTGACAAAATTTAACACCATTCATGGTAAAACCTTCAATAAAATAAGGATATAAGAAACAGACCTAAAAATGGCAATGGTGATTTAAAGCAAACCCATAACCAACTTCACACACAATGGTGAGAAATTGAAAACCTTCCCTTTTATATGAAGCACATGGCAAGGATAAGCACTATCTCCAAAATTATTCAGTTCAGTTTTAGAAGTCCTCATCATAGGGAAGGAGGGAAGGAGGGAGGGAGGGAGGGAGGGAGGGAGGGAGGGAGGGAGGGAGGGAGGGAGGGAGGGAAGGAGGGAAAGCAAAGGAAGAAGAGAGAGAGAGAATTCTAGCTCAACTTCTAAGGTAAACAGCATAAAGATTTTTTTCCAAAATAGATATAAAACTAGAACTCCCATATGACCCAGTGGTTATGGTCTTTGGCATATACCCCCAAAGCACAAAAATATTAATTTGAAAAAATATATAATATCCAGGATATAGCAATAATCCAAATTTCAGATGAATGTATAAAGTTGTGGTATATACACACATGAAATGTTATGCAGCTGTAGGGAAAAAATGAAGCTTGCTGCAGAAGTCTTGCTGTTCCAACCATGAATAGAACTGGGGGCTATCATGTTTTAAAAAATGAGAGGGAGACGGGCAAATACCAAAGATGGTATCTTACTCAACGGTGGCATGCAGAGAGATCACTTAATCACTTAATCACTTAACTTCCCGTTAGTCGTCGATTTGCTCGAGCGGGCGCCAGTAACGTCTCCATTTGTCCCTGTCGCGTGCTAGTGTAGCCCAATGGCATCTCTTCGCTCCGGGAACATGAAGGGCCTCAAACCGATCGTTCATGATCTTGACGAAGAAGTCTGACCATCTGGTAGGTGGGCAGCCACACGGTCTTTTGACATCCCGTGGAATCCAGTCGGTAACAGCTCTACTCCAGCGGTCGTATTTAAATCTCATTACATGACCAGCCCATCTGATTTTCGACACCTTGGCAAATGAGACAGCGTCCCTGATCCCTGATTCTTGATCGTAGACGGATGTCAGAACTCCGGATTCTTTCTCTCATTTGAGTGAAATGTGATATTCCAAGCATAGCTCTTTCTATTCTTCTTTGGGAGACCTGAATAGTGTTCTCATCTTGTTTGCGTAGGGCCCAGGTCTCTGAGGCATATGTTAATGCAGGAAGAACAGTGGAATCAAAGAGATGCAGAGAGATAAAACAAAGAAATAGAAATGAAACCATGAAAAAGCTTGGACTTTCGATTATAAAACTCTAATTATAAAGTAGTGGAAGGAGAAAAAGGGAATGAAGAGGAAAACTAGAAATTATATAAAGGCTGTGTCAGAAGATCTTAGACACTTTTGTGATGGCAAGGTGTCTAATAATTTTGTACCTCAGTGCCACAACCATCAACACTACTGTAGCCACATATCTAGATTATAATTTTTAATGTGGTATATACATAATGTAACACTACTTATCTATAAGAATATATGAAATCTTGCTTTTTTATTATAGCTTGGATGTGGTTAGATTATCATATTTTGAAAAAAAAGCCATAATAGCAAAGGATAACTACCAGAATATCTGATTCAAGTAGCAGGGAAAAAATAGTAGGAAAAAAATTAATTAGGTATAGGAATCTTAGGACTTTTTTTTATTTAGCTACAGTTTTGATGGTATATACTTCCTTACTAGGTGATGGTTCTGTGTTACTTCATATAGTATTCCAACGTAAGTCTTTCTGGAGTGAGTTTTGTTTTTCATTTTTTAACTACACCAAGCTTTGCTCAAGGGTCACTCCTGGCAAGGCTGTGGGGACCATATGGGGTTACTGGGGATCAAATCTGGGGTTGGCCACATGTAAGGCCAGTGTCCTACCCACAGTATTCTCTCTCTGGCTCCTCTGGAGTGAGTTTGAAGAGTATGTTATACAGTTTGTACTTGACATATTTCTCTTCCAAGTCAGTGACCAAGGCTTATATGACTTCAAGACCAGCGAAAGTCACCCACTCTGGTAAGCTGTTGCTGCTTTGTACAATGCAGAAGCACCATAAATTGTCAGCTTAATTTTATTTACTTAGGTCTTTTTTGATTGAGACCTGGATTTAGACATATATTTCTGTCTTTCAATGCAAGATGGTCATCTTCTGTACCTCTCACTGCCACTTTGCTCTTTTCCCATGTAAGGAAACAAAAACTGTTTCCATTCCTAAAAGTTGTGAGTTGCACATCTCTCAAATCATTCTTATTTCTGCAGGTAGATCTGGCAGGATTGTGCTTGAAAGCTGGAGTGAAGAATCTCAGCACAGTGTTTCTCATGACAGATGCTCAAGTGGCTGATGAGAAATTTCTTGTACTCATTAATGATCTCTTGGCATCTGGTAAGAGACTCTTTGCCCCTGAATGTTGTTAATAAATGCTTCCTGGAGTTACTGGCATTCAAAGGTGGAGACTAGCAGAAATGAGCAGGGCTGGGGAGAAATGCTACAGTGTAAGACTGGTTCATTAATTCCTTAACAGGATCGGTGCTGGCCTTCTCTCCAAAGTCTCCGTTCTCTTCTGGCCTTCTCTCCAAGGTCTCTATTCTCTTTTCAGTGCAAACAAAATATTAGTGTTGGGGTTCTCTTAGTGATACTAGATCACTTTATTAGAAGCATGGGTTAAAGTGCCTGGTGACTTGATAAGCCAAAGTAAATGATGTTATCTTTCCTATACACAAGACATATGAGAATGAATATACTTCAGGTTAGTTGGGTATTATCAGGAATGTGCATACAGAAAACTTATATAATTGGTCATGCTTAGGTTTCCAATTTGACTAATCAAGTATTCAAAACTTTATGAAAGCAAAGTAGAAGTAGGAGCAGATATCTCTGCATGGTTTTCTTTGCTTTTCAAATACTTTCACGAGGTCTGTAAATTGCACTGTGACTATGTACAAAAAGGCTTCAGTGGAAAATTCAATTATTGATACCCTACTGTTCTTATTTGCTTAGAAATTCAAGATTTGTCAACCATTCCAGAAAAAAAACTATATAATATAAAGGTAAAGGTAAAGGCCCTCCCGTTGATCGTCGATTTGCTCGAGCAGGCCCAGTAACGTCTCCATTGGAGACTTTGTTGTTACTGTGTTTGGCATATCGAATACTCTCGGTAGCTTGCCGGGCTCTCCAAGAGTTATATAAAGTATATATAAACTTTACAAACAATATATTTATAAAATATAACTATAATATATAATATATAAAGTTCGTATATACTTTATATAATGTAAATTATATATAAAAAGTATATCATGTATATGTAATTTTATAAAGTATATATAACATACATAAGATATATAACAGTAATTAACAGGAAAATATTCTTTCCTGGATCTTAAAAAAAATTCAACATCTACATATGTACCTTTTTGTGTGGTTAAAAAAACAAATTCAGAGTCCAGAGCAGCAGGACAGTGGCAGGCGCTCACCTGGCACGCAGCTGCCTGAGCTCCATCCTGGCATCCCACATGGATCCCCAACACCATCAGGAGCAGTTGCTAAGCTCAGTAAGTCCTGAGCACCCCATATGTGGCCAAAAAAATAACAAGAAAAGAGAGAAGAGGGGAGAAGAAAGAAAACATTCAAATTTAGTGAACAGATAGATGTTCCTGAATAAAACTGCCTCCAGTTTCCCAGCATTCCTGAAAGTCCATTTGTCCACAGTCCATCCGCTAGTTCTTTGATTGAATTACTCTTTTGTTCATAAAGTTTAAAGACCATAATCAAATTATATCTCACTAGTCTATATCAACGTCAGATGTAGAATACCTGAAGGATGGTTCCTTTCATGTAATCCCTAGGTACTTCACCGTTTCAGAGTCACTGTCTGCTTTGAATTTTGTACCCCTTTTCACCCTCACCTTTTTTGTCTCTACCATAAACACTTTTCTTATTTCACAGCATAAATGTTACAGATACTATACCAAATTTTTATAAAAACAGTGGTACGCAACAATTATGTTTAGTGGAGCTTTTTAATTATGCTGGTATTACTTAAAAATCAATGCTACACCTATGCTGTGGCAGTGAGTATTCTGGGAAATATGGTGTCTAATTCAGGCCTTGCTCTCATTCTCTTTGAGCAGCCTTCAGGAGTTCCAGGTTTCTTATTGTGTTTACAAGCATTACACAGATCCCAAATTTGCATTTCCCTTCAAACTCAGCCTATTTGATTTGTGTTTTCGTTTGTGAAGCAAGACAGTTTTTACCGAATGACATTTACTTAGAAAGATGTGAGAAGAGACACCAGAATACATGTTCAAGAGAGAATACTGGTTTCTCCAGAGTGGAACAAGCAAGCAAGCAAGCAAAGAAGGATCCATATTCAAGGCTTCAGAGAACAAACCAATTTGATTGTTTTCTTTTAAGAGTTTGCCTCTGCTAAAACCTTTTCTTCAGCAGCCCTCTTTTAAAAAACTGTCTTTTAATACCTGACCACCTTTACAACAGTATTTCACCTACAACACAAACTCACCTTTAATTATTTTACAAAATTATGAGACATTAAACAACCCTCCCACCCTAAAGCTGGCCCCTCAAATGTCTAATTTTTAAATCAACCAAATATATAAAATAGTGCTTTCAAAAACTAATAGCTCTGGGGGCCTGAGAGATAGTACTGGCCTGTGAGATGATTGCTTTTAACACAGCTGACTGGGTTAGATCCCTGCTACAGTATATGGTTCCCCAAACACCACTAGGAGAGATTACTGAAAACAAAGGTAGGAGTAATCCCTGAACACAATTGGATATGGCCCCAAAATGAACAACAATAAAAATGCTTTAAACATTCCAGCCATGCCGCCATGTCTTTCAGCTGGCTCCAATTCAACCAAATCACCTTCTTGTAAAATAATATGAAACACATTACAGAAGCTTTGTTGAATTTTTACCAATTGAAATTTTATCCCCCAACTAAGTAATTTTCATTTAAAAAAACAATTTTTCTCATATTCAAATGAATTTCTGGAGCCCTACCCTGTGAACCCTTAACATAATACACCTACTCCAAAGTTATGAAATTTCAAGCTCACATTTTTCATTTCTAGACTTCCGTGTATAAGGGCCAGAGCAATAGAACAGCAACCAAGGCTCTTGTTTTACACTCAACTGGTATCCATATGGTCCCCAGAGCAATTCCAGAAGTGATCCCTTAGCACAGAACCAGAAGTAATCGCAGAGCCCCACTGGGTATGACACACCCCTCACAAAAAACTTTTATGTAAAACTAACATTTATATATATATATATATTATATATATATATACACACATGTTAAAGTTAAAATACAATAAAATATTTACTTTTACCTCCTAATCATTTTTCCTTTTCCCCCTTAGCCACTACAGTGTTAGATCTAATTTCCCATCAGGAAGTTTCTACCAGTAAGGGCAGAATTGCTGGTATTCTTCAGAATCTTCCCACCACCTTAATTTTTCACTTTTATAGAGCTGTGTAATCACTATACTTTTGTAGTTAACACAATAGAGATGATAAAATGATGTTATAGGTTACATGGCCGTTAAATCATTCACCTCTCCCTATCTAATCCTGTTAGGGTAGACACAGATGAACAGTGAGAAAATTCCACTGTTTTAACTTGACTCAAAAATAATTTTCTTCAATTACCTATTGATCTCATGCCATAAGCTATCATTTCTTTTTATACTTCTTTAACTGACTGCTTCAGCCTTTGGTTTTCTAACACCATTTTCAAAATCAAACCATGAGAGTAATTTATCATATTAATCTGAACTTTGGTTACCAACCAAATATTTCAAAACCCACTGTTTAGCCAGGTTGTATATTACAGACGGACAAGTGAAATAGTGCGGAAAAACTTTTAACTGAATTAAGTTACTAATTTAATCAACAAAAAAAATACAGAGGAAATAGGGTAGTTCGCCAGATCAGGAATGACCGAAGCATTCCTTTGAGTCATTTCCCTTGGCTCCCAAGAACTTTAGAAGGGCCAAATCGGTGCTGGTGAAATGATGCATAAATTGTAGGCCCTAGTTGAACTAAAGTTTTTACTTACTGCTATGTTGAAATTGTCCTGTTATAACTCTGAACAATGTATAGTTATTAAAAATAGAAATGATCACCCTGGACAAGAACTGAGTGCTAAAAATAGGTAAAGGAACCAACATGATAACCTCTTAGCATCTTTATTTCAAACCATAATGCCCAAGAGGAAGAAGAAAAGTGCCTACCATAGAGATGCAGGTGGGGCAGGGAGGGGCAGTGGAAAGGGAGGGAATCTGGGGACACTGGTAGTGGAAAATGTACACTGGGAGAGGGATGTGTTCGAACCTTGTATGACTGAAACTCGATTCTGAAAAACTTAATAACTGTTTATCTCACAGTAATTCAATTATTTTTAAAAAGGATAATAAAAAGCTATAGAGATCATGTTAAAAAAAAAAGAATGAAGGAAACAAATTTGAGTATTTAAGAAATTCTTACAAAATTTGTTTTCTCTTAACCCCTAAACCAAGTCATGACCAGCAAGTCCCCATCCTAATCTAGAGGGCAAAAACAGAATCATTCCCTTGCTTCCTGGTATCTCACATATGCCTCTGGCTTTTCAGAAATTTAGATGCCTTACTTATCTACTGAAGGGACATTCCAGAAGAAATGTCCCTTCATCATTTATGTTCCTCATAAAATCAAGTCAATCCTTCATTTTATTTTATGATACCTTGTTGGCATTTCTCTTTTGCTTTTTCAAAAACTTATTTCTTACGTATCACTGCAAAATTGTTCCAATCTTAATATTTATCTCTCCTGACTCAGACTAGACCATTTTTAATTATTTACATATTGATTAACCATTTGCTAATTTATTATCTATAAATTGTGCTCAAAGTTGAGTAGCACATAGTTTCTACTAAGCCTGCTGGAATGGTTTATAGCCAAAAGTTCTTCTTCCATAAATCATGTGCCCCTTCATCTCTACACCAGATTTTGCTTCCTACATTTTGCAAAGATCACCTCATCTTTAGGATTAGATCCAGTATTCCAGCCTGGCCTGGAGCGATAGCACAGCGGGTGGGGCGTTTGCCTTGCACGCAGTCAACATAGCCGACCCGAGTTCGATTCCTCCGCCCCTCTCGGAGAGCACGGCAAGCTACCGAGAGTATCTCGCCCACACAGCAAAGCCTGGCAAGCTACCCGTGGCATATTTGATATGCCAAACACAGTAACAAGTGTCACAATAGAGACATTACTAGGCCCACTCGAGCAAATCGATATACAACGGGAGGACAAGGATTCACATGCCAATGATCTCCATACTATACATTTGGGATGTAGCATCTCACTATCTGGTGCTTGCA